GGCTCAGGATGCCTTCAGGGCACGTCTGGTTTGGCTTGAGCATTTGGGGATCAAACCACAGCACCCTGAGACTGACTGCTCTGCTTAAGCAGTCACTTAAGCAACTGAGCTAATGGGCAGGCCCCCAAGGTTTTTTTCTTTTAATGTACCAACTTAATTTTTTTTTTTTAAATTTATTTATTTGTGTGTGTGTGTGTGTGGCCAGCTCAACCCACCAGGGGACAGGTCTGGCTGGCATGTGGTGTTGGGGGATTGAACCGCGGTCCCTGTGCTTTGCTAAGCTTGTTCTAAGGAGGTGCTTTAGACCACTCAGCCATCTCACCAGCCCCCTGTTTTGTTTTGTTTTGTTTTGTTTTGTTTTGCGGAACCGGGGATTGAACTCAGATCCTTACGTTTTCCAGTCAAGCACTTATCCTACTGAGCCATCTCCTCGGCCCTCAACTTAATGTTGTTAGGAATTGATCTCAGAATATTCTAATGAATGAAGTCAGTGATCTTTATCAAAATGTCATTACAGGAAGAACTCACCGATCAAACCAAGTTACTGCTCCTGAGTATGTCTTCCTGATTTCTGAACTGGCAGGAGAACAGAGATTTGCCTCTATTGTTGCCAAAAGACTTGAGAGCCTGGTAAGGTTTTTTTTTTTTTTTTTTTTTTATGTTTTGCTTCAGCTAGGAAAGACCTTGGAAAAATAGCGCTCCAATGAAAATTTTTTTGGCAGAACCAGGGATTGAACTCAGGCCCTTGCACTTGCCAGGGAAGCACTTATTCCACTGAGCCATCTCCCTGGCCCCGTTGGTAAGGTTTTGAGTAGTGTAGTTGTGAGAAAAAGAAGACCTGTGTTGGCTGACAAGAGGCTTAACTCCCTTGATTGAAAATGTTTTGCTAGGGGGCGCTTACACATGGTGACAGAAGAGCAACCGAATCTCGGGATCTGAGCAGATTCAACTTTGACAATAAGGTATATTTCAGTTTGAGCTTCTCTGTAAACTTGGGGACATGTCTAGTCTGCTGTGAAGAGCAGGGCAAGTTGTTCCAAAGTGTTTCCACTTGGAAAATCAGGCTGGAATTGGGAGTGCATGAGGGAAAGCTATTAATGCCCTGGGAATGAAGCAGGGCATTCAGCCCTGTCGCTGTCAGAGTGAGCCCTGGCTGGGAAGCTCCTCAGCACATGCAGCTGCTCCCTCACACAGGCCCTTTGGGGAATGTGCCATTGCCAGTACCTTCCTGTCCTTTCTGGGAAGGAGGAATGTAAGAAGCCATGGGGAGTAAATCACATGTGAGTTCCTGGAACTCAAGTTAGTTATTAACTTACTGAATACTGTATAGGAGCAAGCAGTTGACAGTGTAAGAAATACAGAAATAAAATTGGAAACTGCTATTTTTGAAATTTTGGTCAGTAATAATTTTTTATAGTGTTCTGATGATTTCATGATTGAAGTGTCCAAATTATAAAGCTGGGTGATTTCTTTTTCTTTTTAGTATGGAAGAAATGCTTTAGAAATTGTTATGAAATCCATTGTAAATTTGGACTCTCCTATGGTATCACCACCTCCAGACTATCCCGGAGAATTTTTCAAAGGTAACCCAGAAGAGTTGTCATAAGTATGAAAAATGATTGCTGAGGGCTGGTGAGATGGCTCAGTGGTCTAAAGCACCTACTTAGAACAAGCTTAGCAGAGCACAGGGACCCTGGTTCAATCCCCCAGCACCACATGCCAGCCAGCCACGCCCCCTTGTGGGCTGAGCTGGCCACACACAAACACACACAAATAAATAAAAATAAAATAAATTAAAGAAATGATTACTGATATGGATATGGTAACATTTATTTCCCCCCTAACATTCATTGTAGTGTCAGCACTCTGAACTATATATAGCAAGATCCTATCTCAAAAAAACAAAACAAATTTAGAAATTTTAAGGGGACTGAAACATGTTTGCTTTGCTTTTTTTTTTGGCCAGCTCAGCCTGCCCTGCGGACACAGTCTAGTGCTGCATGCAGTGCCAAGAATTGAACTATGGTCCTGCGCTTGACTAAACTTGCCTAAGCAAGTGCTTTAGCCCACTGCACTGTCTCACCAGCCCCATTTTGCTAATGACTAAATTTGTTAAAACTGGTTTTATGCCTATGAAAGTGGTTTTGTTCTTAATTTTTTTTCTTTTTTTTTAACATTTATTTAGTGTGTGTGTGTGTGTGTGGCCAGCTCAGCCCACCAGGGGGCGGGGCTGGCTGGCATGTGGTGCTGGGGGAT